GATGCCAGATGCATAAATTCCTTTATATATATATATATAATATTCTATAAGTTACTCATATTATTAATACCTACTGCACCGTATCGGTGTCATAGGTTTAGTTTTTGCCTAAAATGGACCGTACTTTTCTCGATTATGTTTTAGTGGTTCGAAATCAACTTTAACCCCCGAAATCTACTTTTACACCGTTCCCGGTGGTCTCAGCGACGAAAAAACCCAGGTACGATTTGGTTCGACTTATCAATTTTCTTAATTCTTACTCATTTTCTTAACTCTATTTTATTTTATCGATTATTGTTGTGCTTTCACTAGTTCAGTTTATAGAAACACACAATAAAAGTGTTGGTATTAATTTAAGAATCACGTGGTTTCATGTACCTTTCAAAATACAAAATTGATGACGTCATTCCTATTATTAACATTGATTTCATTTGAGATAAACTAACATCGGAAGTCAAAGAAAAATAATTCATAAGAACGTGAGATAAAATTGATTTTTTATTGCTGAATAGCTTTTGAGCTGAATATAGCTTTTTGAAGCTGCAAGATAGAAAACCATACTAAAATAGTATTTAACATATTTTTACATTAATTTTCATATGTTAGTAAAATTTTCAGTTAACGTTTACTTACACCACCATATCCTCCCCATTCAAATGCTACTACTGCACTCACACAAATACTGAGTGTTATCAACTGAAATGGAAACAAAAATGATTTTTTAAGTAAATAATATTATTTAAGACATTATGAAAAATATAGCATCTTAAATTGATGTTGAATAATGGTGAACTAAAAAAAAGTTTTGCTTGATGCAATTTAAGAGCTCCATATTTTACCTCAAACGTGTGAGTTTTATCATTAATTATCTTTTAGAATCATAATACATCTTCCAAATTAAAGCCTATTTTAATATTATGAGGAAAATATCGATAGTTATTAAAATGCAACGACCCATTTTTTTTTTCAAAATTTATATTCTCCTCCTCAACTTTTAATTAATATTCTTTTTTTTAAAAATAAAATTCATAAGGCAGTTTTTGAATAAAAGCATTATTGGTATGGATTACGAGTTCGTAAAAAGAATAAAAAATTTTAATCAGTAGTGAATAGAAAATATTAAGCTCTTTAAATAATAACAAAGCATGAAAGCCAATATTTATGAAGATCATTAAAATTCTTCACAATAACTATAAGAGAGAAATAACAAATTTCAAAGAAACATTTTACCTTTTCTAAGGCCATGGAGATAGTTTTCAGTCACTCCGATTGTTAGATTGTACTTATGGTTACAAGTTTGCCTGCTTTTATACAGAATTCAATTTTTAGTTTCATTTAAATTCCCTAAAAATTCAAAACTTTGTTTCAGTTTTTTAACCTCAATATGATACTGTAATAAAAAAAATTCTCACCCTTGCTTTGAATTAGCATGAAAATTTAATACTTCAATACTTGAAACCAATTTCAACAGACATTGAAATGAATTTAGATTTTTTGAAAATTAAAATTGAGTTACTAAGAAGTGCAAAATATTTTTTGTAGCAAAAAATCTGGGTGGAGCAGTCTGAATGTTAATTTATCTCACGTGAAGCAACAGTAAAAAGTAACAATAATTTTATCAAAATGAGGTAATAGAGAAAAAGAAAATACACAGCAGTTAAAATTCTTTTGACCACTCAAACAATGCATGTATCTATTCTTAAATTCTTTTTAAACATGCAAATGGGAACTTCCGTTCTAGACTTATGTAGCAATTGTGTTCCTTTTTTTTATGAAATGCATGTTGAAATAGCTCTTTTTTATTTCCAATTCAGACGAAAATTAATCCACAGCCTTTATAAATAAAGTTTAAATTTATTTTAAATTTTTCAGAGGTTTATTTTCGAGAAATTCCTTTTACTATAAAAATTCAATGATCATATAAGGGAGACTTGAAACGTAAAAATTGCTAATATTAACATTAAAGTCATTATTTCATAAGTCAATCACGCTCACTATTTTCTTGCTTCAAAATAAAATTTTTATGTGAAAAAAGTCGTTTTCGAAAGGGGTTGTTTTAATTTTACTTTTTACAGATAAACTGAAAAAGATTTTATTTAAAAAAGTTGTATTTCTTTAAAAAACTTATTTATTTGAAGAAACGTCAAGTTTAAAGGGAAAATACCAACGTGGCATCTATTTTACATTTAACATAATAAAAATTTCAATTTTTTTGAAAAAATGGCGAAGTTATTGACTTATCAAATTTATTAAATCCAGTTTTAGTTATCATATGGTGCTAAATATGGACCGAGATAGCCTTAGGTCGAGATCCAAGAGGTTGTGGGTTCGCTTCCTGACGACGATTCCTGTCTTCCCATAACAAATCTCTGCCTCTGGGGGTACGGAATTGGAAACTGATCATGCTCTGGTTCAGGTCAAAATTACTATGGGTGTGTCACAGAGCCCACTCTGTAAAACGGGCTGTGACGTATGTGTGTGACCGGCGTCGAATTGATGGTGCCACTGGAAAACAAGAAGAAGCACACCGCTCTGACTTTGAAATAGGCTTGTCAGTATTGACAAATGGTATACGACAACAACTAATCGTATTAAATCAATCGACTGTTTAAAATTGTACTCAGTACTCTCAACTATATTTTAAATTTACCTAGTTTAAAGCAATTTGTAGGATTATTTATTTTCAGTTATAATTTTTAGATTTGAAAAACTTCTTAATTACTGTAATTTGGTTCAAATTTTTATAAATTATCATTATTGGTGAAAATGGTGAAATCTTTGTCATTAAACGCAGTCCTCTTAAATGATATCTCGGAAATAATTTTCGCATTTATGACGACTCACAAATCTTTGAGCAGCATTTAGTTATTCTTGACTCAAATTTTGTCACGAAATAGCGTTATTAAAAACATTAGTGAAAAAAATATTCTAGAGAGATTACTGTACTGCGTGGTAATAATATTTTTTGTAAAAAAAACAAAACGTAATTCCCGCTAATAAAATCAAAATAAGCGATATTTAAATCATTTAGCGGTAATTTTTTCGTTTATATGTTAAATTTCGGTTTTTCGGTATATGTTAAATTATATGTTAAATTCGGTATATGTTAAATATGTTAAATTTCGGTATTCAGAAATTTCGGTTTTCAAAATTATAGTTCTTATTTTTACATTTAGTTAAAAATACGAAACCCTAAAGTAAATTTAACGGAATAAATGTTTTCTATGCCCAGCTCTAAGGCATGCTGATAAAATTGGGAAATTTTATAAAATTTTACAAATTTTAACGCATTTTAAAAACCAATATTTTATTGCTAATTTTACTAAAATTATTACCAAAGACCTGCAGTGAATATTTCCCAGCTTTTTGATGCTCCCATAGAACCAGAAACACGGAAAATTTAACCGTATTCTGTTAGTTCTGATACTTTTTTTCTTAGTGTTTGACAAAAGGTGAATATTCAAATACTTATCAAAATATTTCGCCTCTTGTGCTCCATCTTTCCTTTTTCATCTGAAGTGTAAGAATTATTGGTAACTTTTTGAAAAACTTTAGTATTCTTTCAGATGCCAGATGCATAAATTCCTTTTACCTGCCTCACGCATTTCCACTTGAGCAATTACAATAATGTTACAACTACATTGTTATAAAGGTAACATTGTAACAAGTACACCCACTCTCGCTATTTAAAAACTTCATTCCCTGCTTAATAGGCATTCTCAACTCAAATTGAAATCAGTCATGATGCCTTATTTTATGATGGGGTAAAATAATGACGCTATAATAATTACTTAATGATTTATTTTATAATCAATTCATCTGAGTATGAAAAGGATTACTTTAAAAGGATTTTAAATAATTAGCCTGTAAAATAATTTCAATTTCTTGAGGGGGCAAATTTGGTGTCCTAAACACTTTCTCTAACGAGGACGGGTATAAATTACCATTTAGTCATATAAGCATAACCAATTAACCATTTTATTGAAGTTGTAATTCTTATTTTTATCACTAAATACCCTTTTCCCTCTCTCATACTAATCAGTTAATTCTAATTAATGACGTTTTTTCTATTACGGTACTGAACCAGGCACGCTACCTGAAATTTACGGACCCAGTAATTTAGTGAAGGGTGTGGAGTTGATACCGAATGTTATTTTTTTTGGGGGGGGGGGGTTAAATCCGGTGTCCCCTAAACATCTTCTCTGTCGATGACGGGGATATAAATTATCATCTAGTTATACAAGCATAACTAATTAACTATTTTATTGAAATTGTGATTCCTATTTTTACCACTAAATCCACTCATTTATTCAATTTTTTATAAGAAAAAATTTTCTTACACGCCTAATTAGTGGGCCTACATCCTATTACTGGATGTCGAATATTGAAAAAGCTTGGACACCTGTAATTTGGCCTGAAATATATTTTGAATTTCTTTTAGATGGATCCACCATATACATAATCATACAGGGTATACGAAAAGAAATCAATAATCTTAAAAAGTCAATTAAGAAACAAATCGATAAAAATAGATGTAGGCATTTCTGCAGTCAGCTAGAGCAACAGAAAATATTTATTATTGTCATTATTAAAATTAGTTTAATAGTTTGTCAACAGAGGGCACTGCTGTTTAGAAACTATAAAATGATATTCATTTTTGCTGAAAATATATGTACTGTTTTTTGATAGTTTTACTTTCTGAATTCATCACCTAGTTGATACAAATCTAGACACACAATATGGCAAAAAAGAAATCTTATTATATTGCTTTTGTTAACCTGCCTTAATTTATCAACAAAATTTTGTCTCATGTTTTTCTAGCGCAATGTGTATAACTGTTTTCCTTTAAAATGTGGATAAAATACATTGGAAAGCCTTTTAATGCCCAGCCACAGCTTTAAAAATATACTATGTGTTGACATAAGATCAAAACATGAATATTAATAAAATAGCTCCTAAGCATGAATCGCCTATGATACAACTATTTTTTGCAAGAAGATAACCACCGTTCTTTTTTTTAAAAAATGAAGGAAATGCTTGGTGCAAAAGGAAAAACGAAATAAAAAAAAATGTAACGCAGAGTCGAAGTTTTAATATGCAAACACTTCTACGCAAATTATGCATTTTAAAACATTATGCCCTGTATAGGTTTATTGGTGTCACTTTAATATTCTTTCCTTAAATAGTTCACAATAATAAATTATTCAATAAATCTATAACAGTATAAGAAAAAACGGAAGAATAGTGTTCGCAACATTGTTTTAAATTTATTATTTGTCTTTTTTGACAAAGCTTTCTCACTCTGGTTTTCAAAATTTAGTTACATTTTACAATTATTACAAAACCAATGATGACAACCTATGACATCAACCGATTCGCATCCTCATTTAACATTAACCTCGATGCGTTTAAGTGTTGCAAAATGGATGTCAAAATCTCCTATATCATGCTAAAATATTTATTATTTATAAAATCATTTTCTTTTATTTATATATATATATATATATGTATG